GTGACCCCTGAGTTGTCAGTTCAAAGCCCTCCCACACTGGTAATACCCAAATACCGTTTCTATTTTCTGAGAGCTCAATGAGTAGGTGGATTAAATGTGAAAAGGTTTCTGTTCAGGTATGTGACAGTAGCCTTGATTGGAGCCTCTCTACCCTCTAGCAATGGCCCTGTTGTGTGACTTCCAGCATGACAGCTGTCTTCTCGGGCCATGACCTCTTCCACCTGTAGGATCCAGGACTGTGGCCAGCTGACCCAATGAGAATAGTACAAGTGCTTTATCTCATAGGGAGTTCTGAGTCAAAAATTTTGGTGTTCTTGACATGAAAGATTGGCAGAGTGTATTATTATTCCTTAGTGTTCTGTGCATAATTAACAACCACCCTTAACTAGACCTGGTAGCCCAGGGAAACTGGTCAGACCAGCTAGTGAAAGCAGGTGGAAAATGATCTTGAGGGAAGCACAGAGTCGAGATCCACATGAGTGGAGGTGACTTGTAGTGGATTAGAGTGCTCATAAAAACCGTGGCTGCAGTTGGTGCCAGTGTCATCAGTGGCTGTTTCTAGGCAGGATATCAAGGGTCAGCTTGCTACTTTAGCCCCCTCTTAAGGCAGGATACAAAAAAAAGAGAGAGCCCTGTATTCAGGGAGGCATGTAATCTTCCGTGGTCCCCTACTTCCCCTGCCCTCAACATCTCTGGAGAACGTCGAGTGTGTGTGGCTTCTACAGCAGGGCTGGATGTCTTTCCCTGGGGTAGGAGGGGCATTTATCTGCTTTTCTTTAGCCATCGTTAATAGGGTTCATTCCAGGAGGGAAGGAGAATGGTGCCTGTAACTTAGACTCCCCAGCACAGCCTTGGCCTGCAGGCTTCAGCCCTGTTCCGAGTCAGGGCTTGCTTAAGGAATGCTGTCATGGATCCAAGCCAAATAGATTCCAAATGATGGAATCTGATGTTTCCTGTGGAGTTTGGGGAAGGGAGTCAATGTGGTGTGGGCTGAAGTACCCGTAGTTTACCTCAGAAATAGTCAAGATGCAGGGAGCTGAATGAGGACTCTTGAGGCAGCTTTGCCAGCCTGGAGCACAGGTGAGTCACTACCACCTCAGAAACATCCTTCAGAGGCCAGGATCCAGGCCCCAGGCAGGAGTCAGAGCATCCAGGCTGCTGGTCCGGTTCTCTCCACTGACGTCATCACCCTTGCTTAGTCTGGAATGGCTGGCAGCCTCTGCTTGAGGATGAGAGCTAGCTGGAAGTGGAAAAGCAGGAAATGTTTCCAGATTGGAAACTCAAGGCATGTTTGCGCAATACTGCACTCGGCCAAGCCTGTATGGCTGGCCTGCATGGCTAATAGGATCCCAGGTCTGAAACGGGATTCTGCAGAACCATTGGTCTGACCTCATACCTCCCAACCAGACACAAGGATATCTTCTTGGCCAAGAAAAAAAATGACCTGTATTTTTCTTTTCTTTTTTAATGTTATCCAGCTGAGGTGTGCCTTTAAAAAAATGTGTCTCTGTGTGTGTGTGTGTGTGTGTGTGTGTGTGTGTGTGTGTCTCTGTGTGTGTGTGTGTATTCCAATCCACTACTTAATGCAGGGATACAAAGATCATATTAGAAGGGCTATAACCAGAAATGAGCCAACTAAAGGAATCATAGCATTAATAAAGGGCAAACTGGGAGTCCAGGTAAGAGGAACTGCAGTCTCTGGCGATGGAGTGCAGCCTGGTGGTTTAGAGCTCCAATGTGGAGGCCCATCAGCCTGGGTTTGAATCCTGGCTCTGTGGCTTACTAGCTATGACCTTGGCTTCTGTCATCTTCTGTTCTTTTACTTACTGGAAGAAAGGGTGATAGTGCCACATCATGAATTAGTCTAAGACTTGAGTGTATTTCCACACAAAGTAAGTGCTTAGTAAGTGGTAGCTGTTATCACAGTTAAATGTCATTATTTTTGAGGCAGGGTCTCACTTGTTATAATTATTGTTATTCCTTCCCTCCAGCCTGTTTTAGAGTGATGTCCATGATGCAGTCAAAGGTGTCTGAGTTCATTTCACTTTTCTAGATCCTTGCCCCAATACTAGTGCATAAGGGAATGCAAGGTTTTAGGAACTTTGACCTTGAAACCAGACTGTGTAGTCACCATCACTTCTCTCTGGGAGGCTGTTGTCAGATCAGGCCCTGTTCCATCCCTCTCCTCGGAGGTCTGCCAGTGTTCCTCAGCCGTGAAGCCCATCAAGGGGCCACAGTTCAGATGGAGGAGGAGTCTCTAAGAGGAAGACAGCGTGCCTGGGGATGCTGTTGTCCGGGGTCACATGCTGGCTTCGTCCACTGGAGAAGTGAGCAGCACCAGCCCACCGCATCCCTTCTGCATCCCCTGCCAGCTTACTCTCTGAGGCAGCAAACCTGGAGTCAGTCAAGGTTCCCCAAGAGAGAGACCCCGGGCCTTCCAAGAGCAGGCCTGGACAGCCTGGAGTTTTCTCTCAAAATCGTAACATGGGTTTATTCCGAAACAAAGCAACGAAAGTAGACCCTTGGTGTATCCTTGGCTCACTTCCGTTAAGCGTCACAACCATTAACCAAAGGAAAAGAAGGCCTGAGCCCTGTGACAGAAGTCAGGCCAAGATTTTCCTCACTTCCCTCCCTTTCTGAGACCCAGGAAAAGTCAAAATAGTAAACATAATAATAGCTAAAAATTTTTTTAAAAATTTTTTTTTAAATTTAACAAAAGCTAAAAATCATGGAGTGTTTGCTACATGTCAGGATGGTTTCAGTACTTTATATATATTAAGTTATTTAATCTTCCTGCCCTATAAGAAACGCTATTATTGTTTCCCTTTTACAGATAAGGGGACTAGAGCACAGAGCAGTTATGTAACTTGCTTAAGGTCACACAGCTAGTAGTGGCCATGCCAGCTTTAGAACTCAGATAATCTGGTATTAGAGGCTGCACAGTTAACCACAGCTCTGAACTGCATCTCACGATAGTTATCAAGTTGTTACAATGATAAAAACAAACGATATATATGATGAGATGACATCAAACTATACATACACATTATTCCAGTGTGTATGGTTTTTTAAGTTTTGCTATTATACTCTAATTGTGTGAGATTTAACCATCCGGGGCAAAGTGGGCAAAGAATATACAGGACCTTTCTGTATTCTTTTTTTTTTTTTTTTTTGTAGCTTCCTGTGAATCTATAATTATTTCCAAATAAGAAGTCAAAACAAAAGCAAACCACAATAAAGAGTGTATTAAATTCTTATTGTATGCCAAGCACTGTGATAAACATTTGACATTTATTCTTTTATTTACTCCTAACAGCAACCCATTAAGATGTGGGTACTATTATTGCCTTTAGTTTCAGGTGAGGAAACTGAGGGTTGGCAAGTTAAATAAGTTGGATACCATCAATAGGAAGTGGTATGACCACTGGGTAGTACCCACCTAGATTTATTATAAACATCAAATGAGAAAAAGCCCCTGGTATCTGGATGCTCTGTAAATGTTGATTTCCATGTGTTTGCTCAGCAAGCACGGAGCCCTGCTAGGTGCCACCACACAGTCTAGCATTGGCCAGTCCAAGCCTCTGCTGGTTTGGCTCACAGGATGCCAGGGATATAAGGACAAGTACGACATGTTTCCACCATCAAGGAGCATATTGTGGGGGGACAGTGACTTCCCTGGTTCCAAAGGCACATTGTATGTATGTATGTATGCATGTATTTGAGACAGGGTCTCACTCTGTTGCCCAAGCTGGAGTGCAGTGGCACGATCACAGCTCATTCAGCCTCAACCTTCTGGGCCCAAGCAATCCTCCTACCTCAGCCTCCCCAGAAGCTGGGACCACAGGTGTGTGCCACCATACCCAGCTAATTACTTTTTGTAGCTATGGAGTCTCCCTGTGTTGCCCAGGCTAGTCTCAAACTCCTGGGCTCAAGCAATCTTCCCATCTTGGTCTTCCAAAGTGCTGGGATTATAGACGTGAGCCACCAGGCCTTGCTAGTTGTATGTATTTACATGAACCCAGAGGAAGTACCCTCCTACCTCAGAGCTCCCTCCCCTGAAGCCAGAGTCTGGATGGTTGGACCCAAGTCAGGCACCTTCCTGGGACTCAAGGACACGGTGAGGGTTTGAAAGAGGGAGCATTATCAATCACCATGTTGGATGGCATCAGTGATTATTATCTTCATTTCCATCAAAGGTGTCTTGTGAAAGGGTATCGTCAAGTTCAATTTAGTCTGAATCAGGACATGGCAAGGACTTATTTTCTATTTCTGCCCTGGGCTGAACCTGTCTTGAATAATTCAGTGTTCATCATCTACTTCTAAACACCGAGCTTCCTGCACCTCCCCGCCACCGCCCATGCCTATACAGCTCCATCCAGGGTCATGTGGCTGCTTGTCTCGTCTCCATCAGAAACCCACCCACCCCCACCTCTGGCTGCTAGTAAATGAGTGTTTTCAGGAAAGAGAATCAACTTTGTGTATATAGTACAAGGTATCAGCTGCCTAAAGTCAAGAGGCAGCCCTCAGGGCAGAAGGCTGCACACAGTAGCCTAGGGACGTCTTTTAACCTAGCACTCTCAAAAAGCGAAGAAAACCCAAAACTTGACAATATGCTATCATCTAAAACTTGGGAGAGTTCCTGATCTGGCAACAGCTGGCTAGAGCTGAGTAGCTTCTGCACTCTCTAGATAGGCAAATGCTGTCCCCATCCCCCAAACTCCACTTGTTTACCTTGCATGCCTGGCCCCCAAGAGCATCTAGTTGTCTACTCTGACGTGGAGGAAGGAAAGCCCTCAGACTGGACACGGTGGCTCACGCCTGTAATCCCAGCACTTTGGGAGGCTGAGGCGGGCGGATCACCTGAGGTCGGGAGTTCCAGAACAGCCTGGCCAACATGGTGAAACCCCATCTTTACTAAAAATACGAAAATTAGCTAGGTGTGGTGGTAGGCACCTGTAATTCCTGCTACTCGGGAGGCTGAAGCAGGAGAATAGTTTGAACCCGGGAGGTGGAGGTTGCCGCGAGCCGAGATTGTGACACTGCACTCCAGCCTGGGCAACTGAATGAGACTCCATCTCAAAAAAAAAGAAAAAAAGGGAAGGAAAACTATCCACAGTGGTGAACAGACTATATGCTTGAGAAGGGACGTGGGCCATGTTTGGTCCGGAAACCATGCAGGAAGCGCCCTACCCACCCTTCCGAGGCCAGGGTTACATCTAGTCCTCTTGGTCGGGGAGCTGGGATTCTAGAGGAGAATTCTCAGCCCTGCATCAACACCCTGACTGCAGCAGGATTTCTGAAAGAGCCATCGGGGGAATGACTTGCTGACTTGTATTGTGCATCCGTGCATGAAGCATCCTTGAGAAAGGAGCTGGTCTGGAGTGTTTCTGGGCGATGATGGGTCACCAGATAAGGAGCCAGAAGATGTAAGTTTCAGTCTGGCTGTACCACTTGCTAAGTGGGCATTTGACTTGTTTGATTTTCTTATCTGTAAAATGGGGATAATGTCCACTGTGCCTACCAACAGGGTGGATGAGAGGATCGAGTCACGTGATTGTAGGAAAATGTTACGAATTGTGGAGTTGTATTGAAAAATTAGGTGGTGTGACAGCTATGGTAGGTTGTGGAAGCACACACAACCTCTCTGAGTGTGGACATCAGGAGTTGACAAGCTGGGGACAGTGGGCCAAATCCCATCCACTGCGAATGGTTTTTATATTTTGAAATGGTTGAAAGATAATCAAAAGATAAACGATGTTCCATGGCACAGGGCATTTGTGTGGAGTTCACATTTCTCTGTCCACACATGAAGGCTCATTTGGTTGCGAGTTGTCTGTGGCTGCTCTTGCTCTGCAGCAGACGAGGTGGGGAGTTGCGACAGAGACCACATGGTCCACAAAGCAGAAAGTATTTGCTCCCTGACCCTTGGAGAAAGCTTACCAAGCTCTGGCCTCGGTCATGGAGGGGCAGCGGCTGAATCCCCTCCCTTCTTTTCCTTTGTTTCTTCTGCCACCTAGATGCAGGTGCTGCTGCAAATGGGTGGTCCAGACAAGAAATATCTTCAGATCTCAGACCACAGAGGCAAATCCACTATGACCCACAGCAAATTTGCCCTAAACAACAAAGCCAGGAATTTCTCCCAGTTTAATTCCTATCGAGTACTTCCATCCTCTGGGCTCCGGCTTAGAGGCACTTCCCGATGAAAACCACAGCATGTTTTTGTAAAACCAATCGCCCTTTTAGCAACAACCACAAGAAGAGAAGGGGCTGTTCCTGTCACAGTGGGCATTTCTCCATCGTGTTCACCACCCCAGGGGCCTGGTCGGTGGTGCTTCCTGTCCTTGGCCACAAACTGGCAAGAAACACAAATGGCAACTGCTGTTCTGATAAGGCTGAGGGCGGCACCAGCACTGAATTATGTCCCCCAAAAGATATGTTGAAGTCTTAACCCCTAGGACTTCAGAATGTCACTTTATTTGGAAATAAGTAGGTGTGGATGTAGTTTGTTAAGATGAGGCCCTACCAGGATAGGATGGGCCCCCGATGGGCCCCCCGTCCAACACGCCTGGTGTCCTTACAGTAAGAAGGGCATTTGAATACAGGGTCAGGCACACGTGGAGGATGCATGGGATGTGGAGGGCTGTGTCTAGCAGATGGGGAAGCTGGGAGGAGGCAACGGAAAACCTACCAGGGTCTCAGAGGAAACAGGGCCCTGCCGACACCTTGATTTCAGACTTCTTGCCTCCAGGAGTGTAGCAGAATAAAGTTCTGCTATTTAAAGCCTCCCAATTCATGGTACTTTGTTACAGAAGCCCCAGGAAACTCATGCAGTGGCTGGCCCACCCTGCTGGTGCAGCATTCCAGTACCTTTCCAGCACCTGGCATTATCCTTGTTCTGCAAATAAGGCGGTAGAGGCATGGCAGGTTCCAATGACTGCCTGAGGTTTTGGCTAGTGGCAGAGCAGGACTCAAACCCAGGCCCTCTGGTTCCACACTGCTGCAATGGATGATCTGGGAAATGGCATCGTCCTGTCCCCATCCGTAGCATCCACTAAGAGGAGACAGCAGGTTCTCAGACCGATGGCATCTTCTGCTTCGTGTTCCTCATTCCAGGAGCTCTGAGGAAGTTATTTTTTTACTGTGAGCATCTGAACTTATTTACTTGAGTTCTCAAATATGTACAAGAAAAAGGTCAGGCCAGACATAGTGGCTCATGCCTGTAATCCCAGCACTTTGAGAATCCAAGAGAACCCAAGACAGGTGGATCACTTTAAGCCCAAGAGTTCAAGACCAGCCTGGGCAACATGGCGAAAACCTGTTCCTCCAAAAAAATTTAAAAGCCGAGCATGGTGGCTGGTGGCTATAGTCACAGCTACTCAGGAGACTGAGCTGGAGAATCACTTCAGCCCAGGAAGCAGAGGTTGTGGGGGGCCAAGATTAAGCCACTACACTCCAGCCTGGGCAACAGAGCCAGACCCTGTCTAAAAGAAGAAATCTTAAAATAGGGAGCATGTTGTGCATACATTTGTGCATTATTTACAATAAAAATTGAAGAGGAGTGAACTCTCATTTTCTTAGCCACTTACAGTGCATCTAAAGAATGTGCTTAAGAGATCCTTGGGGAGGTACCCCAAATAAAACCCCCATCTACAAGGCAATTTAATAAGGGAAGTCTCCAATGGCCTCCTGGAAAGCATAAGAACACTGATACTTCCTTCTCAGATAGCACCTGGTTGGCCAAGCCCTTGTGTAACAAACATAAATGAAATCCGCACTGAAAACTGGAGATGGTGCACTTTCCCCCACTACAGTGATTCCTTTTCATCTTTCAGTTCACCCACTGGAGAAGAAACTCAGGTTGCAAGTGAAATCTTACCATTCAAAGTCTAGGATTTTTTTTTGTTTCAAAGATTGCCTTTTCTCTGTGTTACAAGTATTTTCAAACATGCAGACATATATTCAGGGCCCAGGTTTAGGGTTTCTCAGCTACGGGGATGGAAATGTGGGATGGGGACAGGGAGTGATGCCATTAGGATGGGGAAGAGGCCACAGCTGGGGTCCAGGAAGGAGAATGCCAGGGACTTGCAGAAGGTCAGCAAGACTGAGCCCCAGTGGGGTGCTCCCGGCCGGTTGAGTCTGTCCCTGTCTGCCATGGTGACCCAGGTTTCTCCATGGAATTCCACCAGCATTGGCTTGCTCTTCTGAGGGCTGCCACCTCTCGAGCACCCAGAAGTTGAATGCCTGGCCTCAGCTACAGGGGACTTAGCCGTCGTGACACATGGCTGGCAGAGTCCGACGTGCACGTCCGCTGCTGCCAGTAAAGATGATTGTTTCTTTCTCTGAACAGTGTCCATTTACACTGAGAGAATTTTCCTCTCTGCCTCCACCAGCACTTCCCGCCCCGCCTCTCCCTCCCCCACCGCCCCACAAAAAGGAAAAAGCTTTTGGGGAATTTGTTTTTAGTGGGCTCACTCAAAAGGAGCTTTATGTTTATTTTCTGAGTGGCCTCTGGACTGTTGTGTCCATTTATCATACCTCCCCTTCCCCTCCCACCCACTGGCCCCCATCTCTCTTCTACTCTGAAAACCTAAACTTCATCAAACTGTTCCTAACGACTACCACATGTCTACAGAGGGCACAGGGGGTGGGGGAGGGGGATCTGGGATGTGAAGAAACCCTCCAAGGAGCACAGTAGCGTATTAAAATTCAATGGCTTAGTCATCAGAGTTTTCAGCCCAAGCACTGAAGAAAAATAAATGAATGTTCTGTAACAGTCTTGTGGATCTCGGAGGAAGGGGGTGGCAGGGGAGGGAGAGGAGAGGAGATGTTGTGGTTTTTAGATAGAGAAGTTCATGCTGTAGAGAACAATTAAGGCCTTTGCTCAGAAATAACAAGACACGCTACTGTTTTCCTACTTGCTGGAGGAGTGCATAGTGTCGGGGCTGGCAGGGATTGGTCTGATTGGCCAACTCTGCTCACGGATGAGGAAACTGAGGCCCAGGCCAGGGATGTGACTTCTTTAGAGTCATATAAGTACAGGCCAGGTGCGGTGGCTTATGCCTGTAATCCCAGCACTTCGGGAGGCTGAGGCAGGAAGATTGCTTGAGCCCAGGAGTTCGAGACCAGCCTGGGCAATATAGTGAGACCCCATACCTCCAAAAACAATTTAAAAATTAGCTAGGCATGGTGGCGTGTGCCTGGAGTCCCAGCTACTTGAGAGGCTGAGGTGGAAGGATTGCTTGAGTGCAGGAGTTTGAGGTTACGATGAGCTACGATTGCACCACTGCACTCCAGCCTGGGGGACAGAGTGAGACCCTGTCTCTAAATAAGTAGATACATAAATAACAAAAATGAATTTGTGGTAGAGATATGGGACTGGATCCCCTCAGTCATTCTTTCCTCCTGACTCAGGCAGATCTGCTTGGAGTTTCTGATGGTGTTTTGTTTTGTTTTGTTTTTTGAGATGGAGTTTTGCTCTTTTCTCCCAGGCTGGAGCGCAGTGGCGTGATCTTGGCTCACTGTAACCTCTGCCTCCGGGGTTCAAGTGATTCTCCTGCCTCAACCTCCTGTGTAGCTGGGGTTACAGGCACCTGCCACCATGCCCAGCTAATTTTTGTATTTGAGACAGGGTTTCACCACGTTGGCCAGGCTGGTCTCAAACTCCTGACCTCAGATGATCCACCCGCCTTGGCCTCCTAAAGTGTTGGGATTACAGGTGTGAGCCACCATGCCCGGCATTTTTTTTTTTTTTTTTTTTTTTTGAGTCGGAGTTCGCTCTTGCTGCCCAGGCTGGAGTGCAATGGCATGATCTTGGCTCACTGCAACCTCCACCTCCTGGGTTCAAGCGATTCTCCTGTCTCAGCCTCCCAAGTAGCTGGGATTACAGGCATGCACCACCATGCCTGGCTAATTTTGTATTTTTAGTAGAGATGGGGTTTCTCCACGTTGGTCAGGCTGGTCTCGAACTCCCAACCTCAGGTGATTTGCCCACCTCAGCCTCCCAAAGTGCTGGGATTACAGGCATGAGCCACCACGCCCAGTCAATTCTTATGAGTTTTAAGAGCATCACCTCTTGGGCTGAGAACTGCCATGGTGTCCCCAGAGTACCCCGTTGAGGGTACCTGCTTCAGTGACATTGCAGCAATGCTGGTGGGCCTTTGTCCACCCGTCCTCTCCCCCAGCTAAGCCGGAGAAAGGGCCTGGGTGTTTGCGAGTTGTCCATGCTCAGGCGTCAAGGACTCGAAGACTTGCCCCTGAACTTACTGCTTCGGTTCTATTTTTCCTTGTATCCCTGCATCTTCCTTAGGAAGCATAGACCAGATTGCCCTTTCCTTTGCTTGTTTTTAGATGAAGCAACTGAGTCATGAGGAAGTGAGAGGACTTGGTAAAGTCCTGAGTTGATAGTGAAAGAAATGGCTCTGCAATGCACATCTCCCCTTTCCCTGTCCTCCATGCTGATTAAGATCCCCCTTTTTGGTGACCAAGGACATTGAATAGGAGAGAGATTGTGAAATCTTTGAGCTCGAAGTTTTAGAGGAGAGTGAAGCCAAGCCCCTGCCTGAGGATGAGGAAGCGGGGTCAGGATGAGGAGGGCTCTGGCCGGGGCCAGCAGGCGGTACAGGCTCGGGCCAGCAGAAATGCAGCGTTCACCCTGGACTAGCTGTGGGACACACTTCGAACAGTTTGATGTCCCAGGAGGGATCGAGGTGTGGCCAGTCCATGCCACCCACCACTAGTCCCAGAACAGGGAGAGCATTGTAGTTGATTATTATATTGGCTTTGAGTATCCGTTTGGGCTTCTTTGATCAGCTTGGGAGAAAACTGAAAGAAAAAGGTAGACAAAGTAACCACCCAACTCAGCTAAATTGCTGGCAGCAAAAAGTCTAACAAAATCAGATTTTCTGAGCAAGTTTGAAAGGTCTGCCTCCAGTAGCTGGGCAAATTCCCATGGATCTGGGCCACGAAGCATCATTTCCAAAGGCATCGGTCTGCTCTTGCTTCCTCTGTGTTATGGCAGAAATGCTGGCTGTGTCCAGACCTCTGACCGTTCTTCTTCCTGTCCACAGCACAGAGACACATCGCCTTGTGCCCGATGTGCTGCCATTGAATTGTAGGGGTGATGTGAATTGAAGAGTCCATCTCACAGAGGAAGAAACTGAGGCCAAGAGAGCTAGGGAGACCCTGCTTTGAACTCTCAGGCTCGAGCCTGCTCAATGAACTCCCTATTCAGGGCTTCCCTTCAAGCTGCTTCTAGAAGATCAGATGTGTTTGGAGACTCTCCTGATGGCCCTCAAACTCGCTCCCTTTTTCTCCTGCTGGAGAAGCCTGGTAATAAGGCCTGTGTTACTTCCCTTAGAGAAGACATCAGAAACTTACCCTGGAAGACCACTGATCTCACAGAGCAAAGCCAGCCAAACGTCAGACTCCATAAAGACGTCAGCATATTAAGGAGAACTGCCTGGGCCTGTGGCACTCACACACACCAGCCTTGTTAGCAGATGGGTTTATGTTCTCCCTCCCATGCCCCAGATTGCAACCTACATGGCAGATACCAGTGGGGGACTGGGGTCAGGCCTGAGGACGGTGTTGCGCATGCCTGACGTGTGTTGTGTGTTGCTTTGTGGACTAGGAGACAGGGCTCCTGGGGGTAGGTCAGTCCATTCATCCTTGTTTCCCTACTGTGCCTAGAATTGAGCTGTGTCCCCAGAGGGTGCCTACAACATGCCTGGGGAATGAGTCCTATGCCGATAATGGAAATTCTTAACCCACTGCTGCACCCGGCTGACTTTCCAGCCTCTGCAAGAATGAGTCAGCCACCTGCAGGAGAGCCTCAGGGAAGAGCCTAGCGCTTCCAATCCAGATAAGCTTTGGCTACCTGGGCCTGTGACAAGTGACAATAAAAGGAAAGCCTGAGCAGACCTGTGTTTATAAGCATGAGGGAGGGGGCTTCACTCAGAGGTGTGCTAATTAAAAGCTGAGAACCTGCAAAAGAACTTATGTTTAAACCACACCTCCTCTCTCCATCCACCCTGCCTTATCCTGCTGGTTGCTTTTGTTGCAATAAAAAGCCAATTTTATTTCCCCCACGGAGCCTTTGTTAATGCATTTCTAACCAGAACCTAAAGTTAGGGAATGTGAAGGGGAAGCGTGGCCCTCATGCAAGTGCGTGCACACATATGGACGCTCATACGTAAGACCAAACACTTCCTGGTTCCTCTCTGTGTCCCCCCAACCCCCACCAAAAACAGCATTTCTTGAGAGATGGACCCTTAACCTCAGTGTATCCAAGGCCCAAAGGGCCTAATGAAAACCAGAGCCACCACCAAAGCGTTTCTGATGCCAAACCGGCCCCCGGAGTCCTTTAGCATCAGGGCCCTGGGCTGCAAGTGAGCTCAGTTCTAAACAAATCTGGGGCCCATTATCTCCCTGGCCTGATTTTGTCTCCTGTGGCTGCCCTATTAGTCCTTTCCTGGCATGATGACATGTTCTGTCGGGTCCTTCTCCTTTGTCCAATTTCCAGGGCAGCGTTTAGGCAGCTCGAAGTAGAGTGCTGGGAACCGACCCCTGGGCACCTGAGGGTTTGCAGGTGAAATCACCCACAAGAGGTGGCAGGAAGTAGGATGGTGTTGACCTGGCAAGCTCTGGTGGAAGCCCTTGAGAAAACAGTATTGCATTATTGTCACCATTAATAATGGCCCTTTATTTGAGCTTTGCTAGGACAATGCTCTAAACAAAGCTGAGAGGAAGAAACAATCCCTGCTTGTAATGTGGGGCCTTGTAATTTATCAAGGCTAATGGAGGAAGAAAAATCCACTGGGGAAAGATTGTGGGGGTGGGCTGGAGATAGATTTGATTGTAGCTGGAGGTGTAATTGGACGATACCCACAGCCTAGCTATGCATCCCCATTTGCTTTGTTGCAACAGGACTGTGTTTCTAGCCCCTCCTTTGTCTTGTCTAGTTCCACTGGATCTGAGTCCCGTGAAGGCAGATTGAGGTCTAAGTCCTGGATCTGATGTAGCAGCATGACCTCAAGCAGGTTCCTTTACTTCTGAGCCTCAGGTTCCTCATTTGCAGGGGAGGTACCCAGATTGGAAATCATGAGAGTCCAAGCCCCTTAAATTGCTAAAGGAATAATAGTTGCCAAAAATAGATGACAGAAGTATTGAGGAACGAGGACTTGCTAGAAGTGTCTTTGCGTTCCTTAGAGGATCCAAATCCCATGCTTGGACCTAACTGAGGCCACCATTTACTGAGAGTACCAGGCATCAAACCAGTTGCATCTCTGGATGTCATTTACTTCTCTATCAAAGAACTGTGGCAAGAATGATTGCCTCCCGCCTTTTCCACATGAGGATGTGAGTCAGTGTTGTTTTCTTGTTGGGTGCCGGACTCACTGTACCAGGGGTATGGCGGCATTTCAGGGCTGGAAGTCCTCTGTGAAAATCAGCACCCCACCCTGCCAAGTCGGAGGTCCTGCCGTCCTCCAGAAGTGCTGGCAGCCAGGAGCTGCAGCTGTGTTGCAACAAGTCTGATTTAATTTGGGGGGTGGTACAGAGACACCACTGTGATGTTTGTTAAAAGCCAGAAGAATACAGCTTATTCACCAAACTGTGAAACTGGCTATGCCTTGGGTGGGGGAAGCCAGAGGAAAATGTGTGATAGCGTTTTTTAAAAGAGTAAAAATGGTGATAATTATAAATTTACTATAATGCCCATTATTGCATGAGGTCTAAGTGGATTAACTCACTGCAGCTAAGTCAGCATCAGGTTTTCTTAAGGCCTCTTCCCTTCCGGGGTTTATAATTCTGTGTTCTTATCTCTCTATTAATTTATAAAGTGAGAAGCCAATCATTGTCTTTCGTAATCCTTGTTATCACCCCCTTGGTTCCTCAGAAGTAAAAATCAGGCCAAAAAAAAAAAAAAAAGTAGTTTTTTATATAATGCAATTAGAATAAACCCAAAAATGTCAGTAAATAGGAGGATTTTTATAAGTTAAATTTTCTTTCAAATGTATGAAAAAAACAGACTACCTTGTGGAATTCCACTGTAAATAGTTTTGTCAGGTGAGGATGTGTCCATATATTTGTCTTTGAGGTAAGCCTGGATCTTTCCTGTCCACAGCTGTGACACTGTGTACTCAAGCTGATACATCGGTCACTCTAGCAGCATTTCTGTTTTTTATATTAACTTATATCCTTTCTCTGTGAAATTTTCCAGGTTATTAAACCTAGGTGAGCGTGATTGAGAGAGACGTGACAGTGCCTTCCAAAGTGCCTTTTTTGTTTTTTTTTTTTGAGACAGAGTCTCGCTCTGTCGCCCAGGCTGGAGTGCAGTGGCGCGATCTCGGCTCACTGCAAGCTCCGCCTCCCGGGTTCACGCCATTCTCCTGCCTCAGTCTCCCAAGTAGCTGGGACTACAGGCGCCGCCACCATGCCCAGCTAATTTTTTGTATTTTTAGTAGAGATGGGGTTTCACCGTGTTAGCCAGGATGGTCTCGATCTCCTGATCTCCTGATCTCGTGATCCGCCCGCCTCGGCCTCCCCAAGTGCTGGGCTTACAGGCGTGAGCTACTGTGCCCGGCATTTTTTTTTTTTTTTTTTTTTTTTGCTTTTTTTGGTGGGGAGATGGAGTCTTGCGATGTTGCCCAGGCTGGAGTGCAGTGGTACCATCTCCGCTCACTACAACCTCCGCCTCCCAGGTTCAAGTGATTCTTCCGCCTCAGCCTCCCGGGTAGCTGGGATTACAGGCACCCCCCACCACCACGCCCGGCTAATTTTTTGTGCTTTTAGTAGAGACAGGGTTTCCCCATATTGGCCAGGCTGGTCTTAAACTCCTGGCCTCAGGTGAGCCACCACACCCAGCCTTACAAAGTGTCATTTAGATGTAAAAATGCTACACACCCCACAGGACAAGGACGTGTGGCTGTACAGTAGGGTGGAAGAAAGCCTGGAATTGAAATGGAGTCTCAATTTGCCCTCAGCTCTGCCCTCAGCTTTTGCATGACCCTGGGCAGGACACTTAGTCTCCATGGGCTTCCATATTCGCATCTGTAAAATGAGGGGTACCGATTGGATGCTTTAAGAAAACCTGTGAGATAAGCGTTTCAGAATTCTTCCAATGGTGCTATCCCGGACCAAATGTCCGTTTAAGAAAAGCTATTAGTCCCTTATCAATACAATTTATCCTTTGAAGGAGGTATGGCCGTGTGTTTCTAGACAACATCCGAGGAGTAACTCTATCTGGGGATTCCACTGCCTTTTCAGAGCCCTGCACTGCAGTGTGCGCTGACATGTCCTCTTCAGAGACCCCTCATTGAATTACACCATGATCAGCGGTTAGGACCTTGCGTATTTATTATTCAGGAGGCAGTACACCGCCCTCCGCCCTGCAGAGTGCAGGTACTTTATCAGCTACGATCAGATGGGTTATTGAATTCAGAAAATCTTCATTTTGTATTCAGCTTGCTTCTCCCTGTTCCACTTGATCACGTTCCTCATCGACTGTCAGGGCCCTTGGGGATTTCATGGCGAGAAGCCTCCAAGCGCTGGACGGTGGGTACAATTCCGTTCTCTTTGTACTTAAGCAAGGCACCCAGGAAAGCAATTATTCCAGAGCCTTACTTTACATTTAGTAGAGATTTTCTTTTTTTAAGTTCATTTAGGCCAGGCGTAATGGCTCATGCCTGTAATCCCGGCACTTTGAGAGGCCAAGGCAGGCGGATTGCTTGAGCCCAGGAGTTTGAGACCAGCCTGAGCAACATGGCAAAACCCCATCTCTAGAAAAAAATACAATAAAAAATAAGCCAAGTGTGGTGGTGTGCACCTGTGATCTCAGCTCCTCGGGAGGCTAAGGTAGGAGGATTGCTGGAGCCCAGGAGGTCGAGGTTGCAGTGAGCTGTGATTATGCCACTACACTTCATCCTGGGTAACAGAGACCCTGTCTCAAATAATAATAATAATAATAATAATAATAATAATAATAATAATAAAGTTTATTTAGGGGAAGGTCTCTAGGGATTTGTTGACTAGTCCTAGTTTTCTAGGGGTGCTAAGCGTTTGATGACAGCTATGAATGTGACCCAACCAGTTTTGAAAAGCCATTGATAGGTTATATTTCTGATTAATGTAATCAGTCACCTTTCTGTAAAGCTGCAGACCAGATCCCAGCTGCTGAAAGAGAGAGAAAGAGACAGTGATACCCCACAGATCTGAATGTCAAGGAAAGTTTGAACTTCTATATCACCCAGAGGAGAAATACCTTTCTATTTCTGAGAAGGAGGGGAGCTGAGTAAGGAAGGATTTCCATAGAGTTCTGCATTTCCTCTTCATTCTCCCCTACCCCACAAAACAAAAATCTGTTCATCGTCTGCAAGTTTCTGTGGTGGTTCTTACCTATTCCCCAAACTACTTATAAGAGCTTAGGGTTGCTGGATCCATTTCCTCCCTTATCTTTCCTGCTTTATTCCTGCTATAAAATCACCACACTTAATTCAAACCAGAGTTGTTGGATCTGCCCTGCCCAGCCTCGTTCAGACTTGGTAGTGCTGACTAGCAAGAGCCCAGGCCAGACACATGAGCTTATGACCTCACTGTGGAGGACAGGCAGAGAGCAGAGGGTGGACTAGGGTGGAGAGACAGACCTGGGCTATTAGACCAAAATGCTAACAAGCCTGACCCCAAGAACAACTGCAATGGTAACAGTAACAATAGCAAAATACCAGCAAACATATATTGAACACTTAGACTTCACCAGGCAAATAAATGTTCAATCCTCACACATAGCATAATGTGAGCAGAGCAGCAGGTGAAAAACAACCGGGTATATAAAGTGATAAGCCCCACCACTACCACACTTCCCTGACAAGAGCAGGCACTTCTGGCTGGGCGCAGTGGCTCACGCCTGTAATCCCAGCACTTTGGGAGGCCAAGGCAAGTAGATCACCTGAGGTCAGGAGTTCAAGACCAGCCTGGCCAACATGATGAAACCCCATCTCTACTAAAAATACAAAAATTAGCTGGGCATGGTGGCAGGTGCCTGTAATCCCAGCTACTCAGGAGGCTGAAGCAGGAGAATTGCTTGAGCCTGGAGGTGAAAGTTGAAGTCAGCTGAGATCGCCCCATTGCACTCCAGCCTAGGCAACAAGACTCCATCTCAAAAAAAAAAAAAAAAAAAAGAAAAAAAAAAGAACAGCCACTTCTGTAGTGCTCCCTAGGCACTAGGCACAGTTCTAAGGATTGTACATATTTTAACTCACAACTCTAAGAGGCAGTTCCTACTGCTGTTTCCATTTGATAGATGGCCCCAAAGCACTGAGAGGTTAAGTAACTTGCCTAAAGCAACACAGGATTGTCTTCAGTCTACTATTGTGTCACTAATTCCATCTCCGTAAATCTTTGACAGGGGTATTTCTCATCTGTAAGACAGGTGTGATGGTACCCCCTTCTACCTCTCTCTCATCGTGAGGATTAAAGGGGAAAAAAATAATGAAGTGGGATAGATATTTATAAATTGTCATTCCATATTCAAATGACCTGTGGGGAAGGCCTGTGAGGGATACACAATAATAGTGGAGAACTATTGGGATGAGTGACACAAAGTTTATAGGCCAACATGACAATCCATATAGTATGCCCTGGAATCCTTAATCCTGAGATTTCTATGGGGACAAAGCAGATTGGGGTTACTGAGGCGGGTCCTGACAGTGGAGTTGCAGGGGTCGTTAGAGAGCTGCCTGAAGGCTCTGCTGCCCCTGCCTGGACCTTGCCTCCTTGAGTGACTCTGGGCTGGGGACTCAGGGAGACTGGAGCAGCATGACCTGTGACTGATTGGGATGTGCTTTGGAGGAACTAGGTAGGTCCGTGTGATTATTAACAACCCCTAGGTAGAGAATATCTCAAGGCCAGGTGCAGTGGCTCATGCCTGTAATCCCTAGACTTTGGGACGGTAAGGTAGGTGGATTGCTTGAGCCCAGGAGTTTCAGACCATTGAGACCATTCTGGGCAACATAGCAAGACCCTATCTCTACAGAAAATAAAAATAAATTAGCCAGATGTGCTGGTGTACGCCTGTAGCCCCAGTTACTCAGGAGGCTGACACAGGACAATTGCCTGAGTCCGGGAGGTTGAAGCTACAGTGAAGCTACAGTGAGCCGTGTTTGCACCACTGCACTCCAGCCTGGGCAACAGAGCAAAATCCTGTGTCAAAAAAAGAAAAAAAAGTCATTCCTCAGTCATATTAGCTGCATTTCAAATGCTCGATGATTGTGTGGGTTAGTGACTACTGTGTTGGACAGCACAGATACAGAGCATTGTCACACCATTACAGAAAGTTCTAGAGCCTACCTGATTGATCTGAGTATATGATGGCAAGTCTTCTCTTTCCTTGGCTGGGTTCTGTGCCCCTTTCTAGTGTAAAAACTCTCCTCCACCTTCACCTCTTAGAGGCCTCCTGGAGATGTGGCGCTCTGGGTGGCTTTTGATAAGTACCAATCCTAAATGCTGCAGTCACTTTTTCTTCCTTCTCTGTTGCCATTGAGCCACGTCTTCCTGAGCCCCTTGTGACTCTTGGGTCCATTTTCTTTTCATTTTTTCCTCCATGGTGTTCAGAATGGACAAGTCAGAATTCAGAAGTTGGTCTTAAGACCTATCTTCATAACAAGCCCACCTCATCAGACCATAGGCCAGCTGCTATTTGTACTAACACTTGGGGTCATTTCATGTGTGAGGAATAATGAAGTTGCATTGTATATTCAGAACTTTAAAATTTCTTAAATAAGTTTGTGTTTTACCAGCTAAGCTGCTCAGAAGGCATTTGACTACCATGAGTGGCTCTGTGTCTGGGTGAGCCCTGGTCGGGTAGCAGTTCAGAGCAACTCAAGAAATCTTGGGCTGGAGACAGGGCAAACTCTGTCTCATCCTTGCAGCTGCACAGCCGTGACA